ACATTTGTTTAGTGAGTTTTGCCTCATTTTATGACTTTTCTTGCCACAGTTGTTAAGTGAATCACTGCAGTTGTTTAAGTTAGTAAACTGGTTGTTAAGTGAATCTGGCTTCCCCATTGCCTTTGCTTGTCAGAAAGTGGCAAAAGGTGATCATCTGATCCTGCAACACTGCAGCCATCATAAATATGAGTCAGTTGCCAAGGATCTGAATTTTGGTCATGTGACTATGGCGATGCTGCAACAGTTGTCAGGAAAATGGTCACAGTTCACTTTCTTCAGTGCTGTTGTAACTTCAAACTGTCACTAAATGAATTGTTGTAAGTCAAAGACTACCTGTAGTTGTTTTCAGGTTTTGGTGAATGCTGGCATGTCATCCAAAATGTCATGGCATGTCACCTTTGACACAGGCATCATAGATTCGCCATCACTGTCCTAGGTATCTCCTGGAGCAAGTGGGCTAGGATTTGTAGTCCCTCCTTGTGACTTGAGGCAGGTTGAACAATTTGTATTGTCAAACCCATCACACTAACCGTCACTGAGATCTGATAAGATACTGTAAGTACAGGTAGTCCTGGAGTTATGACCACAATTGAACCACAAATGTATGTTTCTAAGTGAGTTTGCCCCATTTTACGACTTTTCTTGCCACAGTTGTTAAATGAATCATTGCATTTGTTAAGTTAGTAACATGGTTGTTAAGTGAATCTGGATTCCCCATTGCCTTTGCTTGTCAGGAAGTGGCAAAAGGTGATCCCCTGACCCTGGGAGACTGCAAGCATCTGAATTTTGGTCACATGGTCCATGGGGATGCTGCAACAGTTGTCAGGAAAATGGTCACAATTCACTTTTTTTAGTGCCATTGCAATTTCAAACGTCACTAAATGAACTGTTGTACATCAAGGACTACTTGTATGTTCTTCTCTGGCAGGCATTTATTTTAAACCCCCCAAAATATTTCTAATATTATTCTGGTCCCTCTAGTTCAGTTAGAAAGTAATGAATATATCAGTTATGATTTGGCCTACTTTCTCATTTCTCCAAGGCAAACCAAGGTTTGCATCATTTTGGTCTTCTAAAATCCTGAAAAAAATAATCTGAATTTCTGTAAAAGCATACTTTATGTATGCATTTTTCCTACCAATTTTCCCTGACATGTTTTTGAAAACTTTTCCCCATTTATGTGTAGGTTCTTTCTATGTGTGCTTTTTTAACCTGGCAAATTGCATTAACAAAATCAGAAAATATCGATTTCAAAGGGCAACTCTGTATCAGTTTACGCATTGAATCAAGATGTATATGTTAAAGAAAATGGCATTTAAAGATGAGCTGAATGAATTTTTCCACATCTGTGCTGTCCACACTGTATCGTTTACAAAGTAGATTGATGGTCTTTTGTTTCAAAATTAGCTTTTTAAGCATTTCTCCATATCTGGACTGCAAAAATCTGGGCAACTATTACATGGTAACAAAGATTTAACCATTTAGTGGTTGCCTGGATTTTGCAACCTTAAATATGGTGGTCCTACTGTTTGCAGAAAGCAAGTGTTCAATGAAGGCCAGTGTCCAAAATGGACGGGGCCACTCATCACCCCGCTTTTTTGTTTCTTGTCTTCTCTTATATGAGCCGTGGTGGTGCAGTGGTTAGAATACAGTATTGCAGGCTAATTCTGCCCACTGCCAGGAGTTTGATCCTGACTGGCTCAAGGTTGACTCAGCCTTCCATTCTTCCAAGTTGGTAAAATGAGGACCCAGATTGTTGGGAACAAAAGGCTGACTCTGTAAACCACTTGGAGAGTGCTGTAAAGCACTATGAGGCGGTATATACCGGTAAGTCAAAGTGCTGTAGCTCTCTTCTCTTCTCTTCTCTTCTCTTCTCTTCTCTTCTCTTCTCTTCTCTTCTCTTCTCTTCTCTTCTCTTCTCTTCTCTTCTCTTCTCTTCTCTTCTCTTCTTCTCTTCTCTTCTCTTCTCTTCCCGTCCCTTCCCTTCCCTCTTTCTCTTTCTTTCTTTTTCTGAGAGCTTCCTTTTTTCCCTGCTTCCTCCCCCCCCCCCCCAGAAATTGCTTAGGAAGTTAATCATTTGCGGAAGTATTTTGAAATTAGGATGCTTCAGGCTACCAAGTTATGGCCACTGTAGCTTCTCATCAGGTTTTCTTTCTTTGCATCCAAATGCTAGTTTGGTGTAGAAGTTAAAGTTCCAAGCTAGAAACCAGGAGACCATGAGTTCTAGTCCCGTTTTAGGCACAAAGCCAACTGGGTAACCTTTGGCCAGTCATGTTCCCTCAGTCCTAAGAAGGAGACAAGGACAAACCATTTCCGAAAACCTTGTTAAAAAAACTGCATGTAACCAGGAGCCAATGGTCACTCAAAGGGAGACATGCACACACAAAAGCTGGAAATGCCAGAAATGGAAAGTCTAACTGCTTGTATGTAAGGAATGTATTTCGCCACTGACCCACAACCCTTCATATCACATGTGCCTCGTTGCTGCAATTTTATCAGCCCTTCCTGGGAATAGGGGTTTTTTCAATCAGAAAAGTGGCATATATATGAGGGGGAAAAACATTTACCTTCTTCAGCGCCAATGCCTTATTCCAAAATTTGGTTCTTTACTTTGGGAAAGAATGCTTTTTAATGTATAGAGTATATTTTACTTGTTTACATAGGATCTAAATTGTAATCTGTCCATTATTCAAGGCTGCAGATCATCTTCTAATACCAGACTTGATGTTCTACAAAGTAATTTATTCTAAAGGGAAATGCAAAATTCTTTTCTTTCTTCCCTCTGAAAAATAGAAATTATACCATTTACTTTATATTGCAGTATTACTTTATATTTCATCTTATGATCCTTTTGGCAAATTGAATAGAAGGAACGTAAAAAAATATGCTTTCAGCAAGCTATTGAAACCAAACATTGGCTTCAATGGCAAACTCCACACCCCTGACCTCCATCTCCTAAAAGTGTCACCTAATGTGTTGAGGAAAGAAAATTAAATCCTCGGGGTGGGAATGAAACCAAGGTTTAGTAATGAATGAAAGTCCAGGGGTATGTTCTGTCTTGGGGAGAGAGAGAGAGACAGATTCGATACCATTCGTCTTGATTTTATTCGTTCAGCTTTGATCTGCAATGTTGAAAACAGCTTAGAATAAGCATCAGTACGTGTGCGTGCAACTAAGCAATACAAATCCTACTCCAAAACACCTTATTAAAACAGAGTGATAGAAAATATACGGGAAAGACATGCAGAAACATAATAATCTAAATTTTGGAAAAATGGATTTTTTCTTGCATTGATATTCTCACTATGAAGTTTACCCATATGAGAAAATAAGAAGCATCATTGTTTTTCAGTTGATTTCTGTGTCCTAAAATGTAGGTCAAGGAGAAAACAGTCGGGACAGTCTTGAACTGAATACACTCAAAACTGTAGAGATGATTGCAGATTTTGGGAGAAGCCCTCCTATTCTAC